TTGGTTCCACAATGTATTGCTCTATGAACAAAAACAAGGTTGCTGGAAAAGCTCAGCAGGTCTGGCAGCATCTGTGGAGGAGAAAACAGAGTTAATGTTTTGGGTCCGGTGACCCTTCCTTAGAGCTGATGGTGGCTGGGAAAACGTCAGTTTATATGCAGAAAATAGGGAGGTGGGTGGGGTAGGGAGTAAACGATAGGATAGAGCCCAAAGAGAGAGAAAGAGAAAGACAGTTGGACAGACAAAGGAGTTGCTAACGATCAGGCTGGGAGGGTGAGTAGTTGTTAATGGGGACTGTTAGTGACTAACAACAGGGGGTGTGTAATGGCAGGCTATGTGGTAACAGAGCCTGGTGTGTGGGATGGGGGGCTGGGACACGGGAGAGTTTAGGTCCTAAAATTATTGAACTCAATATTGAGTCCGGAGGGCTGTAGGGTCCCCAAGCGGAAAATGAGGTGTTGTTCCTCCAGCTTGCATTGGGCTTCACTGGAACACTGCAGCAAGTCAGAGACAGAGATGTTGGCCAGGGAACAGGCTGGTGCATTGAAGTGGCAGGCAACAGGTAGTTCAGGGTCTTTTTTGCACACTGCCATTACACACTCCCTGTTGTTAGTCACTAACAGTCCCCATTAACAACCACTCACCCTCCCAGCCTGATCGTTAGCAACTCCTTTTTCTGTCCAACTGTCTTTCTCTTTCTCTCTCTTTGGGCTCTATCCTATCGTTTATTCCCTACCCCACCCACCTCCCTATTTTCTGCATATCAACTGACGTTTTCCCAGCCACCATCAGTTCTGAGGAAGGGTCACCGGACCCGAAAAGCTAACTCTGTTTTCTCCTTCACAGATGCCGCCAGACCTGCTGAGCTTTTCCAGCAACTTTGTTTTTGTTCCTGATTTACAGCATCCACAGTTCTTTTGGTTTTTATTTGTTATTGCTCTATGAGGTAGTTTCAAACACATTACACACACTCATATTTTAAACCACCTTTGCCAATTTGATCCAGTCTACATGAACCTTAAGGTCCTTACAGTTATTTCATTGTCTTTATTGCACATTCTAATAATTTCTTCTTTAATGCTCAGTTGAGTATTACTTAACATTATAATGTTAAGTATAAGTATAACTACGGTTGGGAGACTTATAAACTACACCCACCAGTATTTTCAGACTCTTGCTATTCTTAATCTCTGCCCATATTAATTCTATTTCATGATCTTCTGAGCCAAGATTGTTTCTGATGTCCCAATATAATTGTTTATTATCAGTGCTATCTGTCCTGCTTTGCCATTTCTCTGGCTTTTCAAATTATTGTCAACACTGGAATATTTACTTCCCAACCTTAGTCACCATGTAACCATTTCTGTGTGGTAGAAATTAGATTTAAACCACTTATTTCTATTTGGGCCATTAATCCATCTAGCCTTTTACATATACATATATAATATGTATACTATTTTTCTTTGCTATTCCCTGTATGGACCTTAGTCACTGATGTTCTGCTAAACTATCTGTCCCTTCCAGTCCCATTCTGTTTGCTTTTACTCATACATCTGTTCTATTGCCTTGGCATTTATTTTTGGATTTCTAAATATCTATTCACCCAAACATTGCCTCCCCTCTGTTAGTTTAATTCCCTAAGTACAAAACTATTTATACAATTGCCTGGAAAACCCAGTCCAGTTTAATTGGAGTTCATCCCAACAGAAGAATTGTTTTTTTTTCTGAGTACAAGTGCCATTTCCATGGTCAAAATCCTCTTTCCAACTGTTTAATTCCCTAACCTGGTTGACCCACATGCTAACTGGCAATGTCTCAAGCAACAATCCAGGGAAGTTATGCATTTCAATTTGGACCCTAACTCTTCAAACTATCTTAGCAGAACAGAAATGTCATTGGTTGCATTTGTTCCCTCTGCTCTGGGTCACGGATCCCACTCTCACTGAATTTTAAAGGCAATACAGCTGTTTGAAGTATGCAACGGAAATACAACCAACCAATACTAAGATCTTCAAAATGCCTCAAATCCAGATCCTCATCAAGCAGCAGAGGTGCATTTTGAGTGGCCACAGCATTCCAAACTACAGAGGTGAAATCAACCAGCAATTCCGTGGCTCGACTGTACCCAGCAACTCAGGACAATGACTGAATGTAGATTGTCAAGAGCAATACCTGTCAAAGCTTTCATCAGTGCCTTCAGGACAGAAGGAAAATAATTACTCAAAGGTAGAATTAATAAATGCATTTTCTTTTTCACAAGAATTCCCTCCCTAAGGGCATTGTGGGTCAACCTACAGTATGTGGACTATGGTGGTTCAAGAAGGCAGGTCACCACCATCTTCTCAAGGGCAAGTTAGGACAGGCAATAAATTCTGGCCAGCCAGCGACGTCCACATCCTATGAGTGAATAAAAGAAAACTTGCATTTATATTGGATTCTTAATATAATTAACCACTCAAAGATGGTATACATTCAGGGGATAACCCAAGAAGGCAAACACAAATTAAGAGAGGAGACTTGAAAAAAAAATTAAGTATGTAAGCATAATGAAGCAAGGCTGAGAGATTTCTTTGGTGGGGGGGTGTGTGTGTGTGTGTGTGTGTGGGGTGGGGGAGTTCCAGACCATATACATAACCAAATAAAAGCTAATTGATGCAGGAATGTCAATGAGACTTACACAGAAAACTACACCTGGAAGATCAAAGGACATGGACTGGAATATATGATTCAAGCAAATTACAAAGAAGGTTGAGTGAATGCATTGGTAAATTTGGCACAGACAAGACGACTGTCTTCAGTGCTTTGAGGGTGATGAGAACATGGGACTTACAGATACTTTACATTTGGCCGGCATGGTGGCTCAGTGGTTAGCACTACTGCTTCACAGCCCCAGGGACCTGTGTTCAATTCCACCCTCGGACGACTGCCTGTGTGGAGTTTGCACATGCTCCCTGTGTCTGTGTGGGTTTCCTCTGGGTATTCCGATTTCCACTCACAGTCCAAAGATGTGCAGGTTAGGTCGATTGGCCATGCTAAGTTGCCTGTAGTGTTCAGGGATGTATAGCTTAGGTGAGTTATAGGGGGATGGGTCTGGGTGGGATGCTCCAAGGGTCAGTGTGGAATCATTCGGCTGAAGGACCTGTTCCCACACTGTAGAGATTCTATGTAAATTACTGAATGTAGAAATATAGTGATATGTTACTAGATTGGTAACCCAGAGCTCCTTGACCAATAAACAGAGATGTGCAGTGGAAAGCATCAGCTTTGCTCCTAGCACAACAGCACGACCATTTTTTGGGGTTTTATACCCAACTCTTCACTCTGGTGGTTTCCAAACTATTTCCCAATATTTTCTTCCCAAATTATTGCAAATCTTCAGTGACAACTGTAAGAGTGGTGTAGAGGGACTGGCAGCGCAGACGACTGTTAGTCGCAGCTACATGGCTGCCAATACTGCCTCTGAATTCAGGATCCCATCACACCCCACCCTCCTCCCCAAATGGGAACTCGCTTTAGGAAAATCTTATTCTTCACAGAGCAAACTAATTGACATCCCATCTCTGGGCTCCCAACCAATTAGCAAGGGAAGATGAATGCCTATTTCATCACATGTAGGATTTCTAATTAAAGGGATCATGCTTATGTCCCATGTGTGTACGAAATGTATTTAGGGCAGCGGCGATTAACCATCACCTTTTCAAGGGATTTTAGGGCCGGACCATGAATTCTCCAGCGTCCTGTACACGTACGTTCTAAAAGGAGCTTGTGTTGGGTAAGTGTTTGGGAGGCCAATGAAAACTGCATGTGGTCTTGAAGACTCATGCTGGGCAACGGTTTGAGTGGTGGGTAGAGGCGTGCAATGATTCCCCAGCGGAAGGAGAGTAATGCTGGCGGTGGACAGAGGAACGAGGTGTAACACGTACACGGCTCGTTACGTGACGAGCTGCTGCAGTGGAACCAGGGCATCGACACGCAGGAGGAGGGGACAACCTGCTGCTGGGGATCGCGGAGTTAATCACCGCCCTTCTCTGCAGCTAACAGCGGGAGGGAGGGACGGATGTGTGTGTGGGCATAGGTCTGGATGTGTGTGTATGGAGGGTGGTTCTGAATGTGTGTGTGTGTATGGGGGGGGCATGTAGGTCTGGATGTGTGTGTATGGAGGGTGGGTCTGAATATATGTGTGTGTATGGGGGACATGTAGGTCTGGATGTGTGTGTATGGAGGGTGGGTCTGAATGTGTGTGTGTGGAGGGTGGGTTTGAATGTGTGTGTTTGGGTGGGACTATGTGTATGGAGGTGGGACTGGATGTGTATGTGTACGGGGTGGGTCTGGATGTGTGTGTGTGTGCGGGGGGTGGGTCTGGATGTGTGTGTGTGGGGTTTGGGTCTGGATGTGTGTGTGGGGGTGGGTCTGGATGTGTGTGTGTGTAGGGGGGGTCTGGATGTGTGTGTGTAGGGGGCGGTGGGTCTGGATGTGTGTGCGTGTGGGGAATGGGTCTGGATGTGTGTGTGTAGGGGGTGTGGGTCTGGATGTGTGTGTGTGTGGGGGGTTAGGTCTACATGTGTGTGTGTGTCGGGGCGGATGGGTCTGATGTGTGTGTGTGGGGGGGG